CCTGTTTGGGGACTCAATCGCGACATTGGGGTCGTTTGGGGCAATAGCGTTTCTCCAGTTATGCAAGTCGCTCCGCAACGACATCCCCCTGTTCATCATCATGACGCCCGTGACAGCGATGAACGCGGTGCTGTTCTCTGTGATCTCGATGGGAGTGGGCGGGACGGACTTCTCGGCCACAGACCACGGGGCGTTCGGATGGATGCAGAGTGACCGCTTGCTGCTGGGGCTGTATCTCGGTGGCGTCGTGGGGTTCCTGGGAACGATTTGCTGCATCGCAGCGCTCAAGTTCCTTCCGTCGGTGGTGGTCGGGTCTGTGCAGACGATGATGCCCGTAGCGGGGACTCTGACTGCGGTTTTGGTCGGCGTGGATACACTGCCGGACGTGTGGACCACTCTTGGAGGTGGGGTGATGATGTACGGGGTGCTGCTTATCGCAGAGGCGACTAGGCAGAGCGAGGTCACCGTGGTGCTCAACTCGCACATTTCCGAGATTGGGGTTGTCAAGGGCAAGTCATGAATGAGAAGCGAGAGATGGAAACAAATGATACCAAAAGAGCATTGCGAATCAGGGTACGGTAGATGAGTGTTGCTTGTTACCCTTAAGCCAGGAGGTCTCGTGACGAGCATACCAATGTACAATAGAGAAACGCGACATCGGTAGAGCCAGAGAAGTTGCAAGCCGCTGCCGGCAGAGTTGGCAGTGAGATGGGCTGGTGAGACGCGGAGTGTGTCGCAGGTCGTTGATGCAGAGGAGAGTGAGGGTGTATTTATCTTCGCCCCTACGAACACGTGTACAGTATTACACTTCTAGAAATTACGTGCAGTAATTTGGATGCCACAATTGAATGATCCACTTTCAAATTCCGCTCCAGCAAGTTCCAAATACACCACCATTCCTATACATGTAACGTTACCCTTCATGCGTTCTCTTCTAGTTTTGGAGACGACTTCGCCTCGTACGCTCTTTTCGTGACCCGACGCCTCCGCTCCGCTTCGTTTCACGTTGCTTCACCTCTTCAAGAAATCCCTTCACCCTAAACTTGGTTGTGCATGTAAATCCCCATCCTCATCTTTCCCCCCTCCTCCCCTCCTCCCCTCCTCTCTCCCCACGATGTCGCATAGCTCCTCACAGACCCCGAAAGCCGTGTCGCGGGCGCGCGATCAGCTGAACATGTTGAAAACGCACATCGGGCAACTGGCGCGCCCCGAAACCACAGCCGACCGCGACGTTCTGAAAACCCTTATTCAGCGTACACAGCGCTTGGAGGCCCACCTGCACAAAGTGGAGGTCACCCTGACCCGGTCCAAGCCCGGGCCACGCATACCGACGCGCCCCACCGCGTCCACGCCGCCCTCCATCCGCGCAAAGCGAGCGCTTTCCGTCCTGCTGACGGGGCTCAACTCGAGCAATTGCGCGAAGCGTTTGGGAAACATGGCCGGACATGATTCACCTGACATCACGGACGACGAGCGCGATCGTATCGTCCGAAGGAAGACCGAGGCCATTGTGGGAAAGCCGATACTACTCTCGTCGACGGGCAAGGTCAAGGCCACCCCTATCCGCGATGACTCCATCGCCGCTACGCTCAAGCGCGCCGCGCGCGGTACTGATCTGTCGCTCGTCCAGATCCATAGCAGCAACGGTGTCCTTTTCGAGTGCCGCAACGTCTTCCGCGCCTATATGTGGTTCAAGCAAGTCGACCCTCCGACGGAAAAGCGCACCCCCGCCGAATTGCGCCACTCATACAATGTCCCCGAGCATATCGCGTTTTTCGGCATCGACGAACGAAACATCTCCCGCTGGAGCCGCTCGCAGTACGGCGTCTTTAATGTCGTGTCGGAGCGAGCAAACGCCGCCATTCGCTTTTACATGAACCGCGAGACCACCGGCGAAGATGCCTTCGTCGCCCTTGTCAAGTGGCTCAGTAGACACAAGTCGCTCTTCACGGCCAAGTGCGAAAGGCGTCGCGTCGCGTTTGATGCGTCTCGCGGCATGTTTCTGCCGCCCTGCGTGTACCCCTTCGAGGAGGACGCCTCACCGCGCTTCACGCGCGGCTCCATCCCGCTGAGACATATCAGCAGCAACCCCGCCCCGCCCACCGTGCGTCTCCCCGCAGGATCCGCAGCACAGCAACAGGCGCAAGTGCAGGCCGCGCATGCAAACGCACCCAACAGCGGGCCGCAACAGTCAAGAGGTGGGACTGCCGCTGCGCACGCTGCCGCCGCTGCAGCACAACAAGCTCGTCGGCAGGGACAGTCGATCGCTAAGCAGCAACCCGTACCGGTCACCATGGGCGCAACTCGTGCCCCTTCCGTGGACACGAGGGCCGCCCAGAACCGCCAGCGCTGAGAGCTCCGCCGCAGCTTGGACGGGATACTAGGTATGACGGCTACAACATGCTTCAGTCAAGACACAACGGCTCTAATCACACGTCTCAAAGTCCAAGTAACATCGCTCAGTACCGCGTCAACAGCTTGACGACATCGCCTCGACCGCTCACCTTGACAACATCCATCGGTCTTTCCCCCATATTATTAGTCGCTGCCAAGTCGGCACCAAGTAACAGGAGCTTCTGCACGACGGCCGGGGCCCCGTCATCCTGCCTGGCCACGGCCAAGTGCAGCGGGGTGTTGCCGTGTGCGTCCGTCATATTAACGAGTAGCGCGGCGTCGTCAGTGCGGTGGGCAAAATCCTGTCGCGCGCCACCCACGCCTCGCGCAAGCTCGAACAGGGCGGACACAGTGATGGCGTCTGCCTGCGCCGCGGCGGCGTGCAGCGCAGTCTGGCGGTCATCGGATCGCTGGACCAGGGCGGTGGCAATGAGGCCTTTGCGGATCATGCGGGTCATTTGCGAGATGTCGCCGAGGCGGGCGGCGCGGAACCATTCCTCTGCCACTGACGGTGGCGGAGACGCGGGGCTGGATCTGCACGTCGTGCGGTAACGGGGGGTGCGGTTTGGCGGAATGCTAGTGACATGTGGTTTGTTGGGTGCGTTTCGGAGGCGGCGATTGATTTGTGGGAGTGGAGATACGAAGGCGTTCATTATTGGAAAGCGTTTTGTACCAAGAACAGGTCAACTGGTCGGTCTTTGGCCTGGTGTATAGAAAAAGGTTGGGCGAGGCAGGGTTGCAAGAAGGGGCAATTGCGATCAGGTAAGAAGAGGGGGGCGAGCCCCAGGACTGATGTTTAGAGGCAAGCATGTGAAGTTTGGTAGGACGAAAAGAAATTGTCAATTTTTTAGCCCAACCACGGCTAATCCTTTATGTAAAGATGTGAAGTACTACTGTTCTATATCCTTCTGCGCTAGGGGCTTCCGTCAAAAGGATTCCAGCGCTCCCTGAAGGACTAGGCTCAAGGCCTATCTTAAGTTGTTCGAATAGTTTGCTGAGTATGGGGACAAAGAAGAGAAGCACGATGATCGATATGCTCCGGCCTGACAAAGGGCACGACACAGACCATATCTTGGTAGTGAGCAAGCGAAACGAAAGCGAAAAGGAAGCAACTGTTGGAAGGCCTAGTTTCGCAGTGGCAAAAGGCGAAAGATGATGTCACCACAAGTCAAAATGTATTTTCCTGACTGATATGTGCTCGATAGGCATGGAAACATTGTGAGGTTTGCGTTGCATCAAGATATATTGCAGTGACGCCCGAGTGTCCTTCGGGATCATTTTCAGGAGAGTTGGCAAAGTGGCACTCTACTGTAGAGCATCGTTGAGACTTGCCTCTTTGGTATGTTCGAAAGTTGCAATGCACAGCTTCGAATCGCAACTCATGCTTTACAGTTTGTTGGCTCTTTCTTGTTTCGATGTTTTGTGTACATTTGTAAACTGCCACCGCGGTGCTTCACTACGTAGATGCTACCCTTGGGTATATTTGCCAAGGACGGATACATTAAAAGTACAGTATAATAATGCACGTCCAAATTGACGTTCTACACTGGCGGAATAGTTGTTGATGCTGAGGCAAAATGAAGGTCCTTTTGAAATATGAGCGAAAAAGTGAAGAAGAGGTTTCGGCGGAAATTTGGAGATATCCTGAGAGCACCGTGAGTGACCCCGTGTGATCCTGAGCTGAAGCGAACGGCAAAATTTGAAGAGAGCGGCAGGCCGCTTCTGCAACCCCGTCTGTTGTGCCAACACAGGAACGAATTGTAGATATGATCTTTGTACACGGTCTCAGCGGTGCGACGTGGCGGCAGAAACGAGGAACTCTCCTGCCTATGTCATCAAATCGCGGGGTTTTCCGAGGGTACAACCGGCGAAAACAGATATGTACGGGCCAAGTGGGGGGGCGTGAGGAACGCCACTTGGACGGCAGTGCGAGTGGGGGCACAGATTCGCGTCGATTGCCCAGACTAAGTATACGGGAAAGGTATACAAGTGTGCAGGATTGCGCATTCAGGGCCTCTGCGATGCAGGAAAATCTTGGAATAAAATGATTAAATTTAGGGGGTGCAACAGGCGCCCCTTTCCGGCGGCGAATACCGAATCCGCCAACTCGGGCATGATACGGCAAAGTAGATTTGCGAGGCGGTAAACAACGCGCTAGCTACAGTACACGTGTAGAGGTTTGCAGTGGCGGCTACGGCGACCCTATTTGGAGTCCAAGTTGCCTGACACTGGGTCCTCACAAGTCTTGGACCCAGTGTCAGGCAACTCGCTGTCATTTTTTAAATGACCCTTTTTATATTTTATATTAGTGTCACCTCTGAAGAAGGCCTGGCATACCACAAAAAGCGGTGTTCAGAAACCTCGGTACAGTAAGCTGTACTGTAAAACACACTCGTGCAGCACGGCGACTGCCGAACCTTGTCTTCGCCCATTCGCCTTCCTCCACTCGTCTGCCATTACCCGCACAGTTGTGTACCCTCTCAACGTTACCCAAAACGGGCGTAAAGTTTACCTGCCTAATGCGTACTGATATGCATAGACAGAGTCTCGGCCCCCTCCCAGGACCCGAACGTGCCCCCCGCCGCCCATTGCCACGAATACTCGCTGTGCTGGCCCCTCACCACCAAAAACTCATGCTACAATCCGTTGCGGAAAAAAGGCGTTCCCGCCTCGTCCCCTATGAGAACTGTAGGCGATTTCCCCCCTCACGATTCAGTTGCTTACCCGCATTCCCTTGCAATACCCATCATCACCCCCCCCCCCCCCCCCCCCCCCCCCTCCCCCCCGTCTTACCACTCGTCTCCATGTCCGCCGTGTCTGCTTATTTCAATACGACACGTCGTTCTGTACCTAACCGTCCACCGCCGTCCCTCGCTGCCCGTAGCCGCCGCCCCCCCTCTCCACCCTTCGCAATGGGTTTGGGTTTCAAGAAAACCGTCGTCTCGCACGCCACTTTAACCTCCCTCATCCTCGTCTTGGTAGTATATCTGGTCATCTCCGTCAACCATCTCCATTCCTCCACATGTCCTTCCCTGTTCTCCTTCGCAGCCGAGCCCGCTGCCCCCGAGACCACCCGCATCTCCGGGGCTCAGACGCGTCGCAACAGGCCCATGCCGGTGTGCGCAGCCTCTAACCATCGCGCAAAATCCTTCCTCATGGTCTTTATGGGACACAGTGGCTCCACGGCCATCATCTCAGAGCTCAGCTCCAATTCCCGTGCCTACGTGAATAAGAAGGAGCCCGTCGACCACCAGGAAACGTTCAACACCACAGCCGCTCTGTTGTATACCCGCGACTTTTTCGAGAAGGGAATCGCAGAAGGAAAGACCCCTGGTTTCAAGATTCGCCCCACCCACATTCTTACCGAGCCTGATAAATGGCGCAAGCTCGCCCTCGACTATGACACACGTATCATATGGCAGTATCGAAGGAATCTGTTCAAGTCAGCTGTGGGTGAGTACTCACGCCGCTATTTGAACGATACCAGTATTGTCAAGGGGCTCGATAGCAAGGAAGAGGCTGACAACAGATGTAGTTTCGGCGTCGGTTGTTCGTATCCGATTGATGATGTGCCGTTCTTCCATGACCTGCTTCGAGGCAAGATGAACAGCCAGAGGAAGATCTCGGCCGCAGTTCATGCCGTGTCGGGTGGCAGGGGCTGCGTGAGAGAGCTTCCTTACGAGGATTATTTGTACGAGAGGGAGGAAACTTTAGCGGATGTGTTTCGCTTCTTGGGGCTGCCGCAAGAGCCCACAGAGCCAGAGCGGTTTAAGGCCACAGGCGATAACATGTGCAGCGTTGTGGAAAACTGGGCAGAGCTATGTCAAAATTTTTACGGATGCGCACTTTGGCAGCATATGCTAGATGATCCCAAGAACGGTTGCACATGTCCGCTCACCAGCACACCAACTACCTATTGTCAAATGTACCTCGAGTAGCTCTTCGTGCTCGTCGAGGAGCAGAAAAGGTTAATTTATTGTTTCGAAACACTGTTTTCGTGTGTGCTTTTTCTGCTGAGCAGTTGAATTTTGTTAGGGTTTGAATCATCCGCCAACGCCAGCAGCTGCCGATGCCGTGATACGAAGTAACTCCGTTGTCAAAATCGCTTTTGACATGGCCACAAGCACTGAATTATGAGCTGAAGCAACCGGCTTCCAACATCGTGATGGGTGGCGCTTATTTTCCTTAAACACCTCTCGCGATCAAGTTGCAAGGGTATTTTCACGAAAAATCTGAGATTTTTTTTTGTCTTTTTGGAACCAGAGCACTGCTTACGAGGCTTCCTTGTCCGAGCTCGAAGAGCGAAGAGAAGATGCTCCTGAGTGAAGAGTTGAGAGTGTCCCTCACTTCCACCCATAAACCCCGTTCTGCTTCCCCTCGCTGCATTGCAGTCGAGTGTCTAGGTGACAAATAGCCTCAGAATAGTTCACTTTTCAACCTCCTTTTCCTCCGTTTGCATTTACCCGACAAGAGCAGGAAAAGTATCCTCGCTACCGCAACTGTACGAGGTATTACGGTACATTCCAATGTGCACTACTTGCTGTATAGTCATCTTTAAAAAAGTGTTCCCCGAACAAGCACTCCTGTGCAACCTTGAAGCCTTTGTATTTTTGACCAAGTACTCAGCAATGATTGCCTTCTCATGGTGCCATGGTGCCATGGTGCCAGGCACCATGAGAAGGCAATCATTCGAGTACAGGGGGGTACCCTATTTAGTGCTACCCCCTGTACCGTGATATAATAGGCACTAAATCGGGTTTGGCACAAGAACGGTAACGTAACAAGAAGACTGTATTTAACTACGCAAACCCATCAAGGTCGTATGTTCCTGCTACTTGCGTGGCTTGAGAGCCTCAAATATGATGAGTCTGGCCTTGTACAAATGTGAAGACGCATCAGGTTGCGAGAGAGCTATCGCTGCCGCCTCTAATTTTTGAGAAATCATTCGCTGCTTCGATCAAGGAGAGAGAACGAGACTGACTAGCATTAGAAATCTCCTCCATCAGTTTATCTGTATGCTCTGCTTCAGTTCGCCCAGATAAAACACACCCAGACCCATCCATTTCCTCCATAATTCTCTCCACATCTTCTAGAGCTTCTGTCTTCATGGCCTATCGGACTTCACTTGAAGCCTCTACCACAACCCAATCATTAATATTACTTTCATTTAACGCGGCAATATCAGCGGCATCCCTTTGGTCATTAACAGTGCTCACATTTTGCATTTTTGGCCTGGAGATATCCCTAATGCCTGTTATGTGCGAAAAATCGCACTTAACAACAAAATTGGGACATGACCGTTTCGCCCTTATGTGCGAAAAAGTGGCCCATAGAGCCGTTACGAGGGCTAACTTGGCATCGCTCTGACTCAAAAACGGCTGTGTCAGATCCAGTTGTGCGGCGACACTTTGCCTCGGGCGCCTTTTTCAGTCGCTCATGGCTTTTCACTTTGGCAATTGGACAAAAATTGGGCCACAAAGATGCCTCACAGTGCCGTCTCCCCAATGGCTTCTCCAGGGCATTCGAACACGACTCTTCCCGCCCTTCTCTCCACGATGACCACTCCTGGCAGCCCAGTGGGCGAAGACGGTGCTCCTTTGGCGCGAACATTGGGTGGGGAACACGTTGGAATCTCAGGAGCAAATTTAGTGGAGGAGAATGACAGTCCCAATGCTTGCCTCCGCAACGATCAAGAGGGAGGGGTAGAGATGCGACTGGACAGGATCTACTGGAGTCTGATGCGAAGTTCAAGTCTATTGAGAAATACCGCAACTCACTGAACAAAGTTCAGGCTACTGGTGATTTCATGATTGACGTCGCCCAAGAAATGCTCAGCTATGCAGCGAGTATCCAGTTGCAAGCTGGAACTGATAATGGGACGGAAACGAGACAAGAGACAAGCACGCAGGAATCTAAAAGGCTTATAAGCCTGGCACATTCTAAAAAGCGCAACAGGCTCGCGTTTTTTAATTCTACCGATGGCATTGCGGTGCGTCTTTTAGTGCGGGGACACCATGTTGGACAGGGATTGCTACAGTATTGTGCTTTATGTGGTCAGCACACCACGGGATATCGGGACCATCGTACCACTTTCAGATGTGACATCTGCTCTGTACATCTCTGTCTGAGAGTACCACGAGGGTTCAGGAAAATCTGTTCGCAAATTTAGCACAGCTCAAAGCACTTAGAGGTGCGAAGGATTCCAGCAAGAACTTCATCACGTAGCAGGCAGGGGAATAGCGAGACGGAGAGTTCTTCAGCTAATCAAGGAAGCGGTTCAATGCACGAAAGTTTTATTGAAGGACAGGATAGTGGCGAGGAAGAATTTTTCAACAATGAAGAAGAAATCACCCCTCAGGCAAGGATGCAGGAAGCGGAAAATGTTCCGCCATCCCGAACTACACGGTTTAATACTAGACTGGCATCAACTCGCGGAATTTCCGAACAAGCAGAGAGAACCTCGGAGCAAAGATCCAAAAAAAGGAAGCGCACATAAGAGCGTGTTAACAAATTAGGGAAGTTGTCACAAAGCCAGCCCTTTGAGTAAACAGGGCCCAGTTATGTGCGTTGTTTTGCACATAAGACCCTTTTTAAGTTGCCTAACCCACCTCCTAGACCTCGACTTTGACGTTCTGTCTCTCCGGGGCTATTTACGGTACCGCCCCCAAAAGTAGTAGAGGAAAGCAGCTACACGTCCACAATGGCTCTATGTTCTCATTTTTCTAGGTTCTTTCATGGTCACTTAGTTATGGGCCGTCAAAGTTAATGTTCGATTTTTCGCACATTAAAATCTGGCATTAGGGATATTGGAGATATAGACCCGACATATCTTTTAAAAAAGATTCCATGGCGTCCTTCGGGAATCGCTCGATGGGCCGTGGGGGTACTTGTTTATCATACGTTTTGGTGTAGAGCCGTTTGAGTAGCACTAAACCGGGTCATGTACTATATATGGAGGCACTAAATCGGGTACCCCCCTGTACCCTTCCCCGAGGGGGCAATTTGGTAATTATTTTGACGGAGCCTAACAAGTGTTTTATGGCACTATCCTGGGCTACCAAAAAGCGTCTGCTACAGCCAGTGGGATGTCCATGTGCCATAGACGACGAAAGGACGCCGGCGAAAACAACCTGTTTGAAGCCATTTGACATTTTCACACACGTGCAGAAAGGGCTCAAATGAGAAAAAGGGGCAATTTGGTAATTTTAGTTATGAACCGGAAAGCAACAACAGAGATTGCACAACCTCATCTTCACCGCCTTTATCCTTCCTGAAGGCATGCTTCGAGAGTGTACGGCTCATTGCCGCACCGTACCTCGCCCCAGACGTGGACGACAAATGCTCGTCGCGTGCGGAAGAGAGCGGTATCTGGTTTACTGATCCCGACGTTGACTTTGCACGTCCATTTTCACTCGACAATCGCAGCTGTACGCGCTTGCGTTCCCGTTTTGCCTTCTTCTCACCTTTGAGTCGCTTTTCCGTAGCTAGTTTTACGTCTCTCTCTTTTCGGCTTTCAATTATTTCGTCCAAAGTCAGATAGAGAGCAGGTGTCCTTATTTGCAAATCAACACTTTTCGGACGACTTGCAATTGAACTCTTACTTTTCGAGGAACGTGTGCTTGTCATAAGGAATTTGTTCACACTCCTGCTCTTCCTCAACAATATTTCAACATCACGGAGTCCTGATGTGGGGTCATTTGCAGCCTCCGAAATGTTTTTGAGCTTGCGAAAAGTCTGATTGTCGGGGTTGCGAGTTCTATTTGCGGCATTTACTAAAGCTGCCTGGCAACTTTTCGGGTCATATGGCACCGCATTTGGTCCTTGTCTCTTAAACCTGTCGGGAATGAAAAGTTCATTGGCCATAACCCGTCTTTTCGAAGCTCAACTTAATCTATCAACAGTGATGTCACTGTAAGCCAATGTCGCCACCATCAGATTTGAAGGGAATGGCATGCCATTTCGGTCTGTTGGAGTGGCAAGATTTATCCACTCATTACATTCTTACCCTCTACAATGAAAAAGGGTGGTATTTTGTGACCAGAGGCAGAAACAACCACCACAATTGTAATATGCTTGTTGTTTTTCTAGCTTGACAAGCCACATACCCGCCATGATTAGTAAGTGAGGAACCGAATACTTTATTTCTCACTCTATATTGGCAGTATACAGCTGTCTCGTCGAGGTTACAAAGCCGCGTCGGGTCCCTGAATATGCTTGGATGGGAATTTTGAACTTTTTCAATGCTTCAGAGAACGTTGACATATGTGTAAAATTCTCAGCCGCCAACTTTGCCACAACTTAGTTCTCACTTTTTCGGTAAGTGATGTCTGTATTCACTGTCTGCCATTGCCGGATGGTGTCTTGAGATGGGCTGACAGATTATGTGCCAAATCCTGGACGTCCATCAGACGCTATCTCAGTCATAATATTCCGCACATCACCATTTGAAAGTGCGAAACCCTTTTCAGCTGCATATAAAATCCTTTTCTTAATCAAACTAGACTCTTGTTCACTAATAACTGGGCGGCGTCCTCTGCAATGGGCTTCGGGAGATAGGAGGGCGTAGATTTTCGATTCATCATGCCTGTGGGATAACTCCTCTCCGCCCTGGGTTGGGTGAGAGGCGGAGGCTTTAGCGAAGGAGCACGCCGCGCGGACGCGACGCGCTAATTAAACCGATCGGACGAGCTCGCGAAAAGGGAGTGGCTCACTGGCCGGTTACGCGCAGTCGCCCCGTGGTGCGTGAACGGGAGCGACCGGTAACGGGTTAGAAGCCAGCGCGCGCGACAGACAACCGAAAACGGACGGACGTAGGCGCAAAAGGGACGGGGGCGAGCTTGCCCCAGTTTACTGGTGGGGACGGGTGTCAGGTCTTAACCCCTCAGAGGGACGCCTCGGACACTTGTCGCAGTATACAGTACCTGCCGCCTAGTGCGTACCAGGTACTGTACGCCATTAAAAAGCTAGCGCCTCAATTCCTAATTACCGCGCGGACGCTGCAGCTACACGTGTGTACTACTGTACAAACGCGCTGCTTACAGACTACCACACGGATGCCACGTGTGCTAGCGTACACGAGTCATACTGGTAGACTACCGCTTGGCCGACACGTGCACTACTGTACACGTACGCCAGATTACGACCGCTCGGCACGCGCGCGCTCCCTACACGTGGGCACACCCGCCCACGTGTCCACCGTGCACGGCCGCATGAATCTGCGTCCATTTGCGCGGGATCCATCCGGTACGAGCTGCCTCGCGGTGGGCAGTCGCACGCGGCTGGCTGCCGGGGCTGCATAGCACGTGCGCGGCTTGTTTTCCCCAGAGGCTTTTGCGCGAGCGAGCGTCCGAGCGGTGCGACCGAGAGCGGCCGAAACTTGCGCTACGCATGCACGCTTGATCCTTGTTGGCGCGAGCGCCAATACCGGTCGATAAACGGCTGTGGAAGCCCATCGGCGGGCTCGTAGGTGTCGTCCGAAGCGGTATATCCATACCACCGGACCTTGTAGTCGATCCCGCCGCGCGTAGTACGGTGTCCGACAATGCGGTCAACGACGTACTCCGCTCTTTGCGTT